TTAATCCGTTCTGGTGTGGAGGACAGGGAGGCGGCTATTGCTTGGAGGGAAAGTCCCCCTCTCTACGACCACGTGTCGGGCAGAAAATGGCTGCGGACCATGTCACGGGAGCGAAAATGGCCGCGTATCCTGTTCGTACCCTGAGGCGGAGTTCGCAAACCGAAGCAAAATTTTGCGGCCGGAGCTGGTCGTAACCTGAAAAGTTTGTTAACAGAAGCGTTCGTAACCCGAGGTTCCATTGTATATCCAAATCCTATTTCCTCAGATCCAGCAACTTTCCAAAAAGGAAATTGAGGACTTGCTTCGAAGAGGTGCATATGGTGCCATTATGGATGAAGAGGATGAGGGCTCCAAGTTCTGTGAAGAAGATATTGATCAAATCTTGCAGCGTCGCACAAAAACAATCACAATTGAATCTGAAGGAAGGGGCTCCACATTTGCTAAGGTAGTTACAAACTGTTCAGCAGATATAAAATGTGCCTTTTTCACAGGACGCAGAAAATTCTGAGAGCTCAGAAGATAGGGATGTACAAAATGTTTTGTTTTGAATTGCTTTGAGCACAAAATGGGTTGTTTTGAATATTTTGGAAGTGTTTGAGTTCAAGGACACTCTGTTTATGTTTGTGTAGCTTAAAGCATTTCCAAAATGCTTGGAACTGTCTGTTTTGTTTTCAGACCCCTAGATTTGCACTCAAAATGGGAAAAGCTTTATGCTTAAAAAAGATTGAGGTCTAAACTTTTCTGTACTGTGTAGCTAATTTGACTTTTCACATGATCCTATTCATACGATGGATCCTTTGCAGAACACTTATTTACATTTGTATCATATGTACTAACAATTAATAAAGTACCTGATCCTATAAATGGGATGGGTTCCTGGTATTAAGATACAGTGATACCTAATTTGCCATACTTTAAAAAGAATTAATATATTATGGCACTTTATTCTTTGTTATTTCAGGCTAGTTTTGTTGCATCTGGAAATAGAACAGATATTTCATTAGATGATCCCAACTTCTGGCAGAAGTGGGCCAAAAAAGCAGAAATAGACATAGATGCCATCAGTGGTAGAGTAAGTATATTTTCAATTAAATTTACAGGTTCTTGCTGAGTGGTTGGCTTTGGTTAGTTTTTTTTTTTTTAATGTGAAGCTTCTTATAATAGCTTTGACCAATTTTTTATGGATCACAGTATTCTGACTAAAATAAGGTCTAATAGCTATAGTTCTATGCATGTTTTGTTTATACAACCATCTGAAATACACTGAATTTTATGGAACTTTTGAAGACTCTAGAGCCAGATAGATTTAAGGGAAAGGCTTGGATTAAATAGATTTTTATCCTGCTTTATTGTAGCTGTTGTAGTACTCTTTATATAACCATAAGGCTTTGGAAATTTGAGCTCCAGGAAACTGTCTTAATCTGCAGAGATTTTTCAAATACATATTTATTTATATTATACAGAATAGCTTGGTTATTGACACCCCGAGAATTAGGAAGCAAACAAGGCCTTTTAGTGCTACAAAAGATGAACTTGCTGAGTTATCTGACATTGAAAGTGAAGGAGAGGATAAACCGAAACTTAGAAGGCCTTGTGATCGCTCCAGTGGATATGGAAGAACAGAATGCTTTAGGGTGGAAAAAAACCTGTTAGTTTACGGGTAAGATTTTTTCTTTTACTTTGGAATGATATAAGAAAAATGCACCTTTTTTGAATGAATAGTGTCTCACTTTACACTTTTTTCACTGTGCTGGTAGTTCCAATAATGTAGTAATTATAACAAAATAATGTAATGTTTTGTAGGAGTAGATCAATTTTTTTTTATGATTCAACAAATATTGAAATCAAGCTATATGTTCCTTGATTGTAGACCAAAAAAAAAGCCCTGTTAATATTGCAGGGTAGAATGCATCGAATTTAAAGAGTTTAAAATTTTATGTATAACAGTTATTCAGATCTTTGCATCCTTAATGGCATCCTCGTGAGTGATTGCCAACTTGAATTTACCTTTTGGACAAGTCCAAGTCTCTTCTGAAGGAAAAGAGCAAGGCCATTAAGGAAGTTTGGCAGCTGCTGATTCAGTCAATCCAGAAAGGAATTCTTCCTCTTCTGCTGAATTACTGCCAGCGGCAGAAAACATACAAATATGCATCAGTCAACTAGCTGGTGACCAGTTTTTCTGTCTGAAATGGTTAAACTGGCAGAAACCCTAAAGATGGGAAAGATTACCAGGTGGTGATTTCGTCTTACTCAAAGTAATTAAAATGAACCCAGATTGGTCGGTGCCTCTGTTAGCAACTCTGTTCACTTTCTTTGGCCAAACCGGACATACTGTATTCCCAGTGTTTAGAGAATAGCAACAGTAATTCCAATACGCAAAAAAGATAATAAGTATCTAGGCAGAATGAATGAAGTTTTTTTTTTAAATCAGGCTGCTTTTTTCTGATAAGAAATTTGAACATAAATAGCTTTTCCTGTTCGTTTGTAGTGCAGTAGGTGAGAAGATTCTGGGGCTTCTCCAGGCAATACGGAAAGAAATCCTGTCATCTGTTTATAGCAATGAAGGAATCCAGAATATGCATTTAATTAAGAATGACGGGCAGTAATGCATTAAAAAGTAACCTGAAGTATGTCACTTTTGTTTTAAATGTTGTCCAAAATTAAAATGAAACAGGTGGGGACGTTGGAGAGAGATTTTATCGCATGGGCGCTTCAAGAGACAGCTGAACGAACAAGATGTGGAGATAATTTGCCGAGCCCTCCTAGCATATTGCCTTGTCCATTATAGAGGAGATGAAAAGATTAAAAGTTTTATCTGGGATCTTATTACACCTACTGAGGATGGGCAGACTCGAGAATTACAGAATCACTTAGGTAAGTCTTTTAAGGATATTACTGTTAGCGAGGAAGGAAACGAAAAGTGCAGGCATTACATCTTAAAACAAGAATTTATTACTCAAACTAAGTAACTTAGACTCACATAAACTGTGGATAAAAATATAAGTTCCTGTCTTATATTCTTATTGGCCTAGGTTTGTCAGCCCCAGTCCCCAGGGGCAGAAAAGGAAAGAAAGTTAAGACCCAAGCCAGCACCTTTGACATACATAAAGCAGAATGGCTTCGCAAATATAATCCAGAACATTTGTTGCAAGATGATGGGTATAAAAAACACATAAAACACCACTGCAATAAGTAAGTAGCAATGTAAACCTCAGGTTATTATAAAAGCAGTCGTGAGCATGATTTCAAAGTATGTCTTCTAGAAGTGCAAACAAATCCTTTTACTAAACCTAATGAGTTTATTAATGTTGACCTTTTAATGAAAGAGAAGTTGAATGTTATTGTAATGGTTTTGTTGACTCACGTTTGGCTTCTGCGTTTGCAGGTATATCTTGAGGAGGTGGCACTAGAATCTAAGTGCAGGGGAAGGGAGAGCAAGATAGGGTGTGACAGAGTTAAATCTTTCGGGAGAAACATCCTACTTGTGCAAGGCCTTCCGTCAGCTCCCAATTTGGAAGCAGCTGATATGTTTTCATACAGCCATATATCGTCTTGAAACATTAGCAGAGAGCATTATATAGGCAGAAGCTCTTGTGCAGCTAAAGGCTGAGATGAACAAAAGCAGGTTTTTCAAGGGCTTCGCAGCTCACAGGATTGAATAAAGGGATTGACAGGCCTAAAGGAACTCTCACAGATAAATCTGGGACTAATAATGGTCAGACATTTATACTTGTACAACTACATTTGCATTTATCTTTCATTTCAAAATTCATTTATTGGCTTTATATCCACCCTTCCTTCTAGGTTTTTCCCCTGCCCTTCTTCATTTTAATGCTCTGATCTTGGTGCATGGGAAGAAACACTAGTCAGGGTTCATCGGAACACATAGCTGGTTTCCAACAGAAAGATCTTTAGGCTGGTGTTTGCTTCTTTTATTTCAAAATGTATAAAGCCATCCATGTTGTTTTGTGACTCTGTGCAGCTTATAAACATGTAAACTTGGATTTAAAATTCAGTGTAAGAATTTTAAAACATTAAAATCAGCAGCATGAAAGTTCTAAAGGGCCTTGCCAAAAGGATTGCTTTTTTGAACTCCCTCTTCTAAACTGTAACGCAGAGGGCAGTTTCAACTCATTTTTCAGATTGTTCCATAATACAGGCTATGTCATGGGAAAAGCAGAGTTAGCTATTTATGTTAGGTATATCAGCGACAAAAATTGCAAAAGGACCCTGTAAACAATCCAGGAACTTGGGGCAGATTAGGAAAGCAGGCTGTCCTGCAAGAAATATTTTCCCTGGACTTCCTTCCCTCTTCTCCTCTGTTCTGTTACATTTTAAAAACATTTATGTGTTTTCAAAAGTGCTTCATTCATTTTCTGGATTCACTGAACTGCTGTTTGTTTGTTTAAATTCTCACTATTTACATATAAGCTTTTGGGGGGGGGGTACCTGAAGGTATCTTGATTTTACATATCTGTTCAGCTGTTTAATTTTAATTAAGTGAAACACACACAAAAATATCAACTAAATTGTATTATAAGGAAGTTTGTTTGTTTGTTTTAAAAAAGGGCAATCTAGAATCTTGCCAAGGAAAATGAACCAAAATTGTGTGTGGTGTTGGTGGTAAAGATTAAACCATTTGGACTTGTAAATACATTATGTCAGCTTCAGTTCTAAAAGTGATAGAACATGAAGAGCGAACTTTTTTGCTAAATTAGTAATCCCAGTCATTAACTAATCCTGTGTTCTGCCCTCCTTCGGATTATGCCAACAACATGATTTCAACCTAGTGGTTAGGGCTCCTTATGTCTTTTAAAATATCACCCACATGGGGATGCTGAACTGAGTAGTAATAATTAAACATGCTCATAAAATTCGCTTAAGCTGTTCCAAAACTCATAGTTTTGTGTAGCCCTGGCCACAGTAATGCAGTTTTCACAGCAACACCATCACCAATCCTTTTAAAATTGTCACAGTTAGATGTTCTTAAGATCCACTGACTAGAGTTTGAATACTGTAGAGTTTGAAAATACGTAACTTAATACAAGAAGAAATTTACATTAGATTTGGTCTTAAATTAGTTGATAAATGATCACAGGACATTGTTGGTCATAACTAATACATATTTTAAATTAAGAACTATTTGAAATAAAAACAGTCTGAATGTTTCAAATGGCTTTATGTTTATCTTTATGTGCATATTTAGGGTTTTACTTCGAGTTAGAATGCTGTATTACTTGAAGCAAGAAGTCATTGGTAATGAATGCCAAAAAGTTTTTGAAGGAGTTGATGCCAGGTAAATGATACTGAGATTGTTTCTTTTATCCCTTGGTGAAGTTTAAGTAAAGTTAGACTTAGTAATTCTTGAATTAAGATGGGTTTTAATAGGATTCCTGATGCTTTAAATGTATAAGTTAGATATTTATATATGTTACGCACATTTATATGTTGCATAAAGATTTATACTCATGATGGGAGGATTTAACACCTGCTTTCTGGGTCAACCTTTCAGTGAAATTGATATTTGGGTCCCGGAACCAGACCACTCTGAAGTGCCAGCTGAATGGTGGGATACGGAAGCAGATAAATCTCTATTAATAGGTGTTTTTAAACATGGTAAGCCGTAAAGACATTATCTGCTTGCTTGCTTGCTTTTTGGGGAAGCTTGTTGTCTTTTGAGGTAATATTCAGAACCCATTTGTTTCCAGGTTACGAAAAATACAACACAATTAGAGCAGATGCTGCTCTCTGTTTCCTGGAAAGAGTGGGAAAACCTGACGACAAGGCCGTGGCCGCGGAGCAGAGAGCAAATGATTATATGGATGGGTATGAATTTTTAAACCCCTTTTGAAAGTCAGTTGTCATTTGTTTAGTGGCCGTGCAAATACTATCCCATTTAGTAATTAATCTGGTTTCAACCGTGGGGGGACAAAGACTTTAGGATTTGGGGCCTGTATGGTTCTTGGATAATGTAGAGGTGGGCTGCAGGGAAAGATTGCTGTGAGCCCAAAGGCCAACTGGAGAGCATGCCCTCACTGCGTGTCTTAAACAAAGCTGTTCAAACTACATGGCTGTTACATAGGTGTTCTTTTCATTAGTTTATTCTGACCACTAAATTACGGTAATTAACACTTGAAAAATAGGATATTGCTTATCCTGCTTGTTCTTTTGCTTATAACTATTTGAAGCATGGTATATGTTATCCTTTTTCATTAAAAAAAAAAAAAGCCCTCTCTTTTAAAATACTCCTATAATTAATTTCTTCTGCTGGCCAGCAGCCATGACAATTTCTGGGGTTAAGACAATTTCTGGGGTTAAGAATTAGAAGAAAAGCATGTGCACTGGACAGTTTTGTATTGTTTCTTGTTTTTTTCTAATATTAGTTCGATTTTTTGACACAGTAGCACATTTGCAAAAACATAGCAGTGATATGGCTGTGACTGGATAGGTAGAAACAAAAGTAATATCTGATAATTTTTAATTATTTGCCAGATTGAAGCAATTTTGGGCGGGTTTGATACTCTGTGAGACTTCTCAGCATCACACACCTGCACCCAGCTGAATTTTACCATTTGTAAATGTTTTGTCTCATCTGAAAGAACTGCAGAAGAGGCTAGATTACTGTAAGATATCAAAGCCTTTAGCTATTGATTGATTATGTGTCATCAAGTTGTTGGCTCTTGGCGACCACAAATATAGATTTTCTCCACAACAATCTGTCCCTAACTTGGTCTTTCAGCTCTTCCAATGGTGTACCCATCTCCACTGTAACTGAGCCCATCCACCTTGCTGCTGGTCATCTATCTATCTATCTATCTATCTATCTATCTATCTATCTATCTATCTATCTATCTAATTTCTATAGCTGCCCATCTCAACCAAGTGACTCTTCTTCTCTTTCCTTCCACCTTTCCCAGCATTAAAGCCTTCTCCAGAGAGCTAGGTCTTTGCATAATGAGTCTGATGTAGGATAATTTGAGCCTGGTCAAGCCGTAGACTAGAGGTTGGAAAAAGATATTGGAAGAAGGCAGCAGCAAATCATATGAATGCTTCCACATGGTCCTTAGGAGTCAAACTTGACTTAGGAGAGTCATTGTCTCTTTTATCATGCCCTATAAACATTTTGTGATGTTAGTAGCCCAGGAGATAAATGAGAAATTAGTAATACACTATTTAAATGAAAAGGCAATTCAGTAACCAGTTATTTTAAGGAATTACCATCTAGTAGCATTCTCCTTCTCTACCTGTGTGCAATCTATCTATGTGGTCACTAGAAGTCAAAAATGATTTGATGGCACATAATCATCTCTCTGCAAATCCATAAGCATTCTGATCACAGCATATTGATTTATTAAATATTGTCTTGCCAAGTGATGATACACTTTGCAAAAGAGAAGACTTTAGAACCATAATCTGTTGCTTACAAGATTACGATAATTTGAACAATTTGCATATAACATCAGTCAATGGTCTCTCTCAAAGAACACAATTTCAAGAACAGAGGGATCAGATGGTTAGAACCAAGTTGATTTGGTAATACTTGCTTTTTCCTGCAAATAAACTCATTTTATAATTCTCATTTTTTAGTAACTAAACCATAGTATTATTTCCTATTATTTACATACCTGTGCTTAATGTTTCTTAGGGATGTAGAAGACCCAGAATACAAACCAGCCCCAGCCATGTTTAAAGATGATATGGAGGTAACGTGTTTTCAGTTCATCATTAATTTGTTTCTTTACAGTTTACTGGAGGCTGTTTGGGTCTGGATGGGAAGGAGCAGGTTAAGGCTTAATCCAAGCAAGACAAAACAGCTTTGGGTTTGTAAGCCATCTGACCCCAAGGAGATTCCAGCTTTAATGCTGGATGGGGTTATGCTCCTCAGTACTGAACTGGCTCATAACGTAGAAGTCCCACTGGACTGACAACTCCTGCTTGAGTGGCTATTATGGTCAGGAGGAACTTCTCATTGCTTCATCTGATGTGCCAGTTGTGACCTATCCTAGAATGGGAGGCTTTGCTCACAGTCACTCAAGCCTTAATCACCTCTCTATTGGACTACTCCAGTATGCTCTCCTTGGGGTTGCCCTTGAAGAGCATGCACAACCTACAGCTGGTCCAGAATACAGCAGCCCAAGTAGTTATGGACTCCTCTCATTACTCCCATATAACACTAATGGGGTGGAAGCTGTGCTGGTTACAGTCGTCAATGAATCGTGCAGTTCAAGGTGCTGGTTGTCACATTTAAAGCCCTTCACAGTTCAGGCCTGGATATCTGTGGGATGTTACTGCCTTCTCCCAGTAACATCTGCCTGCCTGATAAATCAGATGGCTGTCTTCCCCCTCCTGTGGAACAGCATTTCCCCCAGACTTTCAAATGGCCCTTTCTCTTTTGACATTTAAGAATTCTATTAAGACCTGGTTGTGGCCCTGGAATCTGTATAATTATCGTCCCCCCCCCCCCGACCCGCTCTTCGAGTAAGTTAAT